CTACAATGTGGAATTTAAAGTAAAATTTACTTCACTACAATTCCATTTACAAAGCTTAGCGTTTATCTCTTGGAGATAGTGACATTATTTTTGAAAAGTGGGGATATAATAGATTATGAAAATTATAAACGTAGGTTTTTAAGAAATGGGTGCATGCATACAAAGTGGAAGTGAATACTGAAACCTAAAACATTTGTCATTAAAATGTCTTATATTGCCAAAAATTAAATTGTTTTGAAAATATGGCTTTTTTCAATGTTTAAATTTAGAAAAATACTTCAGAAGAATTAGTAAATAATCAAAGATCCAATTAATTTCATCATACAAAATATTGAAAAAATATTAAGATTGCAAATGGGAACACTCAACTACAAAAGTGAAGTTTGCTCCTTAATTACTCCTTAGGCGTAGTAATTTTTTACATATAATTTCAGCCAGTTTTGTCAGATCTTTGTAAACTACTATAATATCTGATCTTGTTACCTACCTTAGCTATTTGAAAAATATTAGGAAATTCTACAGTTTTTGATACAAAACCAAAATTTTAGGCAATTCTGAATGTTTAAATTATTATATATCATAAATGTTTAGCACATACTTCTGACTGAAAACCATGTAGTTTAATGACTCATTTAGAAGCAGTCATTAAGCACTAGCTTTACTTTCAACTAAAATGATTACCTTATTCAAAATTAGTTAAATGGGTGATACAATTACCTGTGAAGTTAGCAGGGCTGAACATAGAGGTGAGCAAGTTCCATAAGTTTTCAGGGCATTTGCACATGATCAACAGTGTGTTGATTAAGTGCTGCCTTATTATTATTATTTAGGCCATGGATCCTAAACCTGATTTATGTACAGTAGTGCACAGTGTGTATCTGGGTCCAGATAGATTTTGCAAATGTATTCTAGGCTTTTTTAGTTGAAGAAGCACACTGCTGTAATCTTTTTAGTATCATACTTTAAACACCTACCCACAAGCAGGAGGGACAACATCGCACAAAGAACTTTGATGGAATAATTTCTTGATCTCTTTAAACATTAGCCTTTACAATCTCAAAGTTCCAATGATGCAGTGTTTTAACAAGATTTTAAGGCAAAAGTGGCAAAACCCCAGACAATATAACATATGCAATGCAAAATGGGTTAGAAACCGGCTGCAATGTCTTAGTACAACCTCAGAAGATGGACAGAACCGAGTCCCTTTCCAGAGCGTGCAAGAAAGGAGACCATCTCATGTTAGCATGAGGTGCTGCAGAGATGCAACCTCTCCATGGGTCTTTCATCCACTCTCCAGAGAAAACTATGACAATATATATTTCCAAGCTGTAGAATCTCCTAATATGTTATAAATTCAGATGAAGTCTGGAAGTGTTTTAATAATTTGAGTGATTAGTGGATGATGAGGATCTGAAAACCCAAAGGAACTTCAACATTGTTCTAGACTGTGTTTCCTAACCTCAGTCCTAACTCAAAAAATGGTTTCCAGCACAGATAAGTCCCTCTTCTCCAACTGAGGGTTTTTTCACATATTTTGTGCTCCTAGCAATTTCATCAAACTGTCTCTTCATATGAAAGAATGGACACAAACACCATGCATGCAATAGCATGTCTTTGATATTATTTTACAGAATCCAAGCAGACAACACCGACACGTAAACACAGAAATTTTCACATGACCTAACCCTCCATATTTGATGTGATTCCATCGCTTTGAACTCTTTTATTTATTTTTTTTAAAGCAAGTCTGTGGTGAAAAAGGAATCTGACAAAGCATCTGGCCAACACTATTTAGCATTTTCAAAGACCCAGACAATGGTGACGGACTCTTTCAGCAAGCTTGCACATGATACCAGACTCAGGTGAGTAGTGGATATGTTGGAGAGCAGGCTACCTTTCAGAGGACCCTTGATAAGCCAGAAGAATGAATTAACAGCTATCAAATGCATGGAGTTCAACAAAGCCAAAGTCCTGAAACATGGACTGGAACTAAGCACAATTCTGCAGAAGACACAAGAGTGTCTGTAAAGCAGAAATTAAATGAGTCAGCAGTGTACCCTTGCAGCAATAAATTACTGTTAATAGTGGTCTGCATTAGCAAGAATCAGCCAACAGGTCAAAGGAAGTTACTCGTCTACTTAGTGCTTGTGAAGCCACATCTGGAACACACTGTTCAGCTTTGAACACCATGGCACACAGAAGAGATGGAGAAGCTGGAGGAAGGCCAGTGGAAGGCCACTAATCCGGCCAGGGAGTTGCAGCACAGCAGGTGAGGAGAGACTGAGTGTGAAGCATTGTTTCAGAAGAGAAGGCTGGGAGGAAATTTAATTGCCATTTTAAATTATGTATTAGTTAGTCAGAGAGAAGATTCAAGTGCACAGTGAAAGAACAGAAGGCAACGGTCACATGCTGCATCAAGGGCAACCCCAACAGGGAATAAGAAAAAATACTTCAGTGAGGGTGATCAGACACTGGCAAAGGTTGCCCAGAAAAATGCTGAATTGCTGTCCTTAGAAATATTCAAAACTTGCCTAGACAAGGACACAATCCAACTCTGAAGGCAGCCCTGCCTCAAGAGGATGTCCAGAGGTTCCTTCCACTTAATTTACTCTATGACTCTATGGGTCATTAATAAATATGTTAAAAGCATATAACAATGTTCTCAGAGGACTGAATCCCCTTTCATTAGTGATTTACCACTTAAAGATGTATTAAATATTTTTTTTTAAATTGCTGAAATTACTCATGCTATTTAGGACTTTTCAGAATTGCACCATTTACCTTATATACTTTACAATATAAATGCATCCTTCTGTATTTTTCCAATTTAGAGATACACAATACCAAGCCCCTCCTATAGCTTTTAAGGGAATGTTATTTTTAAACATTTAAGCATTGCCTGAAATTGCTTTATGGAACATCACATTTTAAAACACACACACACACACACACACACACACATATATATATTGCACATTTAAAACTGTATCTCCATCTCAAAGTCTATAGTTGACAAAACATAAACACACATGCACATGCAACACATGAAAAAAAAGCTTCTCTCAGATAGACACAAGTCCTCATTTTGGTACCACTACATACAGGCCATAAACAAAACCTTAAATAGCATACACAAAATTTCTGTGTGCACAGTAAGGCAGGCATATGAAGTGGAAAAAGATCCATCATTACCCAGTATGCTACATTAAAAAGACAGATAAACAGATAAAATTAGCGTTTCCTCTCTAAAGCAGGTTATTTCAACTCCAAATTAGAGCCCATCTATACTTTAAAAAGAGAAAAATAATTGTCAAAACCATCTGAAGAGAGAACAAAAGTTTTCCTCCCTGAAGTCATAGTAAGACAGAAAATTAACCCATCTCTTGTCACAAAGTTACTTGTCCATAACAACATTTCCTTCTTGTATATTTGAATGCTTACACATCATATGCTTAGTGAGTAAGAATACAGATGAATAATCTCCAATGCTTTTTTCTCAAATACCTTTTAAAGGTCCAAAAGCTTCATTTGACAAAGGTATCTAAGATGCAAAGGATCAGCCCAGTTTTCTTTCATACCAGTTGCACAAAATTTGTTACAAACACAACTTCGGTACATTGAATACCAATTTGCTTTATCAAGATAAACCCAGGATAAAGCTCATTGTGCATCGTTTTCTAGGTGTTCAGTTCACACAGGTGAAGAGCCAACATACAAGACTTTTCAAAGTTCACACGTGTGTACAGTTGGTAGATGGTGGTGTGTCTATCCGACTTTTATTTTCCTTAGCATCATTCAGAGGTGATTCGTTACCTATCCGGCATTTGAACACTTGTTTGTAGGCCTGCCTAAAATTTTCAGAGAGAAATGCATATATAATTGGATTCACAGAAGAATTGCTGTAAGCCAGGCAGTGTGCAGTTACTCTAAAGAGAAAGGAGGCTTGAGTGAGTGGGAAAACTCCAAATTCAGCCCAGAGATGAATCACATGATGCGGCAGCCAGGAGATGCCAAAAACCACTACCACCACCAACACAGTCTGTGCTGTCTGAGACAGGGAAAGAAAACACAGATGTCTGATGAGCACTTCAAGAATCAGCTTTAAGCCTGCTTCAAAACCATTATTTTTGGGGGAAAAGGTATACTGAGAAAGAATACCTTTTGGAATATTTATTATTGATTTTACTTCATTACCTACATGGGCTTTATTTTGCATAGTGAACAACTAAGGAGAACCTTAGACTTTAAAATGCGACAGTAAAAGGCAAATGTGTAACTGCTGGAAGGTAAAGAATGATGTTCCTGATTCCCTACACAATAACCTAGCCTTTTCTGAGGTGGACATAAGCTTGATGTAAAATAATGACATGGGTCTTTGGGAAATCTCATTCAGATCAGAAAGTTGGATTGCTGTGGTAACAGCCCAAAATAAATTACGACAGATACTGTTGTTGGTTAGCAAAATCTCACAACAGAAACCAAAGGACATTTTATCTGTAGTAAATATAATTTGTTCAGACTCCAGGCTTCATCTGTTTTCACAAGCTGTTCCTCTATTTAGCCTTATGGAGCCCTGATGAACAGCGACACAAATACCTTCTCTTTCAGCTCTCATCAGGAAAGTATGTGCTAACAAGAAAGTATAAACTGAGAGCACTTCATTTTCTGGTACCTTCAATGTGTTAATATTCCAACTGAAAACAGACTGTCTGGATATCACATGCACAGTTACTTCAGAAGAGGTATATTACTTCAGTTTGTCCAAAATTCTAAAAAACATTACATCAAGAAAATCATTGACTTTCAACGGACTGTGCAGGTGCACCTGAAAGCAGAGGTTGACCATGTCTCTCTTGTAACTATTATACTTAAGGTGTTTCATATCTGCAGCATGAAGGGATCCTCGCAACATCTCCTTTATGCCATTATTCCTCTTAAGCCTAACTTCAGAGCTTACCTTTCCACAGTCTTCACTATACCTTCAACCAAAGTAACACTAAAAGGCAGCTCTTTTTTTACCTAATGGGATCTTACTTATGGTTTCCCATTAGTAAATAAAACCTACCTAAAATACATGATGATATTGATGTTTTGTGACCAAAAAAGCACAAAGAATAGCATTTAAGTGTGTTCATATTTTTCATTAACTTTTCCCCACACATATAGCAAATTTATTTTAAGTTTCTACTACTGAAATTTTCATACAGGTTTGAATAAAACTAGAAAAGTATCATTAAGGCTGAAATGCATTCTTAACAAAATAGTTGATGGAAAAGAAGAAAGAGACAGTAACCAGAGACAGCACACCTGTGAGAACATAGTTGCTTTGTAAAACATGAGACAGGCCATAGGATCAGAAGCTTATTTTCTAAGGCAAAAAAAGTTTTGTACCACTTTTTTTTTCCCTTTGGTTACTGAACCCTGATACATCTTGGGCATATCTGTTATGCTTTTCCCTGAAGCTATGAAAGCTAATTCCTACACAGATCTGATTTTTACCTGCAATGTTTATGAGTTAGTGTTTAGAGGCAATGCACAGGTATTTCCAGTCTGAGATTAATTAGGTGAGAGTATAGATGACAATGTACAGAATGCCTTGAAAACACCACCTTTGACCTTGATGACATTAAGAATAAAAATATATATTTTACAGAACTGCAGCCATAATGCTTTAATTGTAGAAATTAAAATCTATTGACTAGGATATTTTTCCAAAAATAGAGAATGCATAAATAATTGATTACTTATTCACTGTTGAGCCCATGTAGATCTCATTTACAGTGCAGACAGTCTGCATGCCCATGTGGTAATAGTGATCAGACCAAACAATGAGCTATAGTCAAAGGGGTTTTTCTGACTCCACATTCATAAACTGAGAAGTTAGTCAAATGATTACTGTGGTCAAATTTGCTCAAAAATCAGAACCATATTATATGAACTGATAAATTCAATATATAAACACATCGTTCTGCTTTAAAGACCTTTAATGATTCTACTTGTAGCTAGTATATAACTTAAGTCTTGAACATAAGAGAAAAAAAGGTTTTGTAAAAAATCAATAGAAGAATTGCAGAATGATTAAAGTCTTTTATTAAAGACTCCTATCAGGAAGCACAATGAACCTCGCTTGGAAGTCTCATCATATAGCCTAGGAATTTTTCATTAAAAAATTAGCTAGTTAAAAGGAAAAAAAAAAAGATCTACAAGTTAGGGAAAAATGCTGGGGAGGCAAAACCCCCACATATATTATTAGAAACAGGTAGTCTTTTAATGTCTAAATTTCAGATGCTCCAAAGTTCAAAATATGGAGATCTCAGGTAGTGGATTGATCCACTGCAATGGAAAACTCAGATCAGAAAAGACTCAAATCCTGCTAAGATCAGAGAGACACTGAATATGTCATTAAATACTTCATTTAAATTCCATCTCTCCATTACATCTTTGGCAACAAGCAACATAATACCAAATAAGCTTAGCCATAAAATTAAAATATAGACAAAAAGATATTGGTAATGAAAGCAATCTACCTTTTTCTTGGATGCTTCTGACTTCTTTGACATGTTTCTCAACTTTTTATGCAGATGATTAAGGACCTGAAAAGATTAATTTGCATCTTGCATTTCACCATTTTCTAAAATTCACACCCATATATTTCAGAGTATGCTCTCCAGTACTGCATGAGTTGCTTACAAACATCACTGATCCAATTCACACATTTCAAAAGTGCCTAGTGTAAAATCCAAAGGAATTTCATAGCTGCATCTGTGTTAATCAATAAATAAGAAGCACATCACAACTGAATTCTTATATAAAGATTCAGATGTATTACATAACAAATACATATTACAATTGACCAAAGCAACTAAATGGAAACCTATCATGCACCTGGAATGAGCAGTCATTCTCTTTTCCATAAAAACGTCTATGCTTGTTAATTTTGAATGACCTTTACTGCATGTAACATGAAAAGTGTATGTTTTGAGTCAGAGCTTTTCTGAGTCACCCGCACAATTTCCTTTCTTCAGATGGATATTTGGTTAATATAATTAGGATGTTAGTGCTATTTGATCTTCAAAAGAAACCTAGGCTTTCAAAAACAATCTACACTAAAATATATCTCACATGAGGCATGACCTCTATCAGCAATTTTATGATACTTGTCATGTACATTTCACAAGTAATTTTTAAAAATATATCTCAAAAAGACTCATCAACCAAGAGCAGGGCCCAAAGTTTAACATAATGATTTACATGTTAGATTTTGGATAGTGGAGAGAGGTGCATGCCCTACTTTATCTGCTGTTATTATTAGCTGAATCTAATATATTCGTATGGCATGATTTGTAGGTGTCAGGGGCAGGGAATATGCTCTTCAGCTGAATGTGTTTAACAAGTTGTAAACCCTACAGAACTGAAAAAAAAAAGAGATGCTTAATTGAACTCAAGGGTTTAATTAAAATATAGTAAGAGGAATTTATCAGAGAGAGAGTGTCAGAGTGTAGAGCACAGATGATGATGATGATGATGTTAGGTTGCACTTTACATAGCCCTAAGATGAACTGAGAACAATTTAATAGGTAAGATAATCCAGAATTAATAGGTAAGATCATCCAGCATTAAAAGGATTTTTTTAAGGAATACAACACTAAATGTTAGGGCTTATAAGAAGATTTCTTGAGGTGGGGAAAAACGTATAAATTCAAAGTCTCTTACATCATCTGCGGATGTTTTCTATTTTCTTTGGGCTGTGCCCAATAAGATGATATATAGACTTGATCCCACTCTGGCACTTGAGTCTTAGAAACATATATAATGAATATGTATAGTCATAAGACAGCATTTGTGAATAACCATGGCTCATCAGTGGATTCCACTTTTTAAGTACCTACTCTTAGCTACCAGTGAACCACAAACAATAAAAAAAAATTACTTGTAACCACTTGACATTGGAAGTACAATCCATTTGTGCAGTAACAGGTTTCTGTGTGAAAGACTCAGCCCTGCACGCTCTCCCTATTCTGAAACACTAGCCAGGCTGCTACCTGGCTAAACACAGCTCAGGAAAGGCAGGACAAAAATTAATGGGTTTTCTCTGAGAAGGTCAGAGTTTGGCCAGTTTTGACTGGGTGTCAGCCCTTCTTCCTTCTCCAGGACAAAACAGACCAGAAGGAAAGGACAGAAGAGCCCCCAAGGTTCAGCA